CCGAGCTCTGGCTCTGGCTTCCAGCGCTTCCAGCTCGCCGGGCCAAGGACGAGCAAGGCAGGCGGCAGATAGCGTCGCCGAGGAACCCGAGGAACCGAGAACACGACAGACTCAATAAAGATGCACCCCTGGCGGGCCTGGCGGCGAGGCGGGCCTGGCGGCGAGGCGGGCCTGGCCCGACCCCGGTCCTCGCGCGGCCAGCCTGCGGTCGGGGCTCGGGGGTCGGGGGATGAGATGGCGGCTCCGGGGACCTCGCTGGAGGCACAGGAGGTGGGGCAACGCGCTGCGCTGCGCTGTCTGCTGTCCGGGATGGAGCGTAGCCTTGAGCGTAGCGCAGCGCGGATAAAGAGCAAAAAAGAAAAAGGACGAGCCGGGGAAGGAGCAGAAAAATCGAAAACAACAACAAAAGGCTCGGTAAGGAGAGAACATGATGAAAAGGACGCGCGAACACCTTGCCCTGTCATCAGCGAGTCTCGTTGCGCTCCTCGCCTTCGCACTCCGCGCCTCTCCCGCGGAAAATGGCTGACGTCACGACTAACTCGGTGGGGATCCAAGACCCAATGGCGAGGCGCGAGGCGCGAGCCAAGGTCGTTGGACTTATTGCCGAGTTTACTTGCCTTATGGCCGAGGCGGCAAGGATGGCGAGGATCGTGGATGGCGAGGACTAGAGAGGACCAGGAAGCGCGGCAAAGCGGGCCAAGCCACGTAACGCGCTGCAGCGGGGGGAGGGGGAGGGGAGGGGTGGTGCCACCATTTAGCGACGCCGCCAATACCCCGCGCTGGTGTGAGTGTGTGTTTGCGCGCGCGTGCGTGTGTGCCGCCGGGCGGTGCGTCGTCTCACCGCCAGATGGCGCGCTGGCAGCGTAAGCCCTTCGCCGTCTCCACGTCATCGTGTCTTCATTTTGATTTGCTATTTGCACTGGCGGGCCGTGGCTCTGCCGCGCGCCATGCCGTGGGCGGGGGCGTTGCCGGCGTTGCGGTCCGGGTTGAGCCGGGCCGCCGTCATCCTGTCCGGGATCCTGCCGGGGACAATGCCGTCCCTCCTGGACGCGGACACTAATCCACGGCGCCACCCACACCACTCTACCCTTCTCTGTCGCACACACGGTGGGGCTGGGCCAGGGGCCGGGGGTGAGAGGGACGGCAGGCGGCCGGGTGCGGTGGTTTCGAACGCGCTCCGAGGGCGTGCCGCGTGCCGCGCGAGCAGCCAGCCTGCAGCGAGAGGCTCGGCATGGCCGCGCCCAACCCGCGCGCGTTCCGTGGAGGAATTCGGACGGAGGGAAGGTAAGCCGATCATGTCAGCCCCGCCCCCTTCCCGCCCCCGCCCCGTTCCCCGCCCCGACCAGACTCGCGGAGCGTACACATTTGCTATTCTCTCCCCGGGAATCGGAAGCAAAGGCTCACTCTGCTGGCTCTGCTGGCTCGGGGTGATTCGACATCTCGTTCGAGATCTCGTTCGAGATTCGAGGCGACGTGCAAACGGGGGCCAGGTCCATCCCGCGTGCGGCGTGGGCCGCTCACATGCCGTCCCTATAGGGGAACTGCTGAGAGAAAAGTGGGGCTGCCCATAAGAAACAGGCAGAGAGGCCCAGTAAACTCACGGGAGGAGGGGTATAGGCCGGGTGCAGGGTGGCGGTGTGGCGGTGGCGCGCCCTGGCGGACAGGCGCCAAGCTGCAGAGCTGGGTTTCATCCCGAGGTGCCACGGCCCGCCACGGCCAGCACCTCTAGAGTGGGGCGGCTGGGCCGGCCGGCCGTGGCGAGGAGACAGAGTGGTGCTGGCCGCGCGGTGGGAAGGTGCCCGAGCATCCCCGAGTCCGCGCCGTCCACGTAGACGTGCCGGTGCGTGCCGGCCGGGCCGAGCTATCTAGTGTCGTCTGCACGGTGGACCGCGGGACGCTGCTAAGGCAGAACGGAACCAAACCGAACGCAGCCAAGCGGGACACAGCGGGACAGCGATACAGACAGCAAGCAGTCGCCGCCGTGACGACGCTGTGACAAGTCTGAGGCCATGATGGAACCCGTGCCGCGTAAGTTGCTCGTCGTTGTCCTTCTCGTACTCTTCTCACGACAGCGGCGTGCCAGTGGGGCGATTCCTCTGTCTCTCTCGCACCCCGTCGCGACGCCGAATGAGTGCGAGAGAGACGGAGCGCTGTTTGGAGCCAGCGCTCGGCCTGCTTGGTGGCGTCGGCGTTCCGGTGCGCGTTGTTGTTGTGGCTCGTCGTACGTCGTACCCTGCCACAAACAGGTGGCGCCCCCAACGCTTCGATTTATTGACTCGGCAGCCACTTCCGCTGGGCAGTGCAGGCGCGAGATGCGTGCGGCGGGCGCCGCGACAAGTGACAGCGACAGCGGCATGGTGACTTGCTTGGAGGGGGCGGGGATCGGCTATACCGGCCGCGCGGCTGCACAGCGCAGGTCGCGGATGAGACGATAAATCCCTCGCCTCGGCACGGCCAGCCGCCCAGTCGTTACCGGGGTTACTGTCTCCGGGCCTGCACTTGACTTAGTTGGAGAGCCCGCCCGGGAGATCTCTCCGTCGTCACCCGAGTCGAAGTCCCGCGCCTTGACTCGGAAAGAGAAGAGAAGCGAAGTCGAAGGAGTCACTTGCAGTGCACTGGTGAACATGCCACGTCCGGACATGAGCGCTTGTCTGGCCTGCACGGTGCCGTCCGAGTCCACGGGCGCTTCGTTGGACGTGTCGCCGCGGTTGGACTCGCCTTGTCCTCCGCCGCGGTGCCGCTTTGGATTGGATTGGCTGGAACAACTGGACAGGATCGATGGCACCCTTTGGTCGGTTTGCCTGCAGCGCGGTATTCCGAACACTGACGCTCTCTTGCGCCACGAGTGCGAGAGAGACGACGCGACGAAGCCACTCCACTGTCGGCGGGGCGCGGGGCCCACGTGGCGGGGCATCAAAAATTCTGGCTGTCCGGCGGAACGGCCGTGGCCCGCTGTCCCTTTTTGGCAGGAGGCGCCGTGTCGGGTCTTTGCGTGCCAGCGCGCCGTGCCGCGCCGTGCCGTGCCGTGCCGTGCCGCGCCGTGCCGCGCCGCGCCGTCCGTGTGTCGGTCGTGTTTGCCGATGCCCCGGCCGTCCTGTCCGTCCGCCTTCTGTCTCTCTCATGCACTGCGCCCCGCTGCACCGCGCTGCACCGCGTGCTCGCGCTGCGACGGCGCTTTAGGTGCCCCGCCAGTATTTAGGTCATCGCAATTGGCTGCCTTTGTCTACAGAACTGGCGGTCTCTGTCCAAAGAGGATGACTTATTCAGCCGCCGCTGTCGTCCGTCCGGTCAGAAATCGATGCCAGTGGAAACTTGAGTGAAAATCGATACAGCCGCCGCAGACTCGCAGAGCCGGCAAGCAAGGCGTCAACCTTTAATTGGCTTTGGACACCTTGGGTCCTTGGGGCCGGAAAACGCGCTGGCTCGCTGTTTGCCTCTGACCCAGTCGCGCCGGTCTCAGCCATTCCCTTGGCGGTGTCCTCCCCCTCGGGGGTCCTTTGCCAGCCGCCACCTCCCCTTGTTCTTCAGGCACCAGGTCACGGCGCCGCGCGTGCCCGCGCTGGGCTTGAGAGTGCACGACGGGCTTGCCCCCCCCCCTTTCCTTTCCGGGCGTTCCCAAATAATGACTCGAGTCGGGCCGAAGTTGAACGGCGACGTCCTGGTGGCGCTGCTGCGCCAGGATCAGAGAGGCTCTCGGCGTGGCGTGCCACCGAAATATCTGTCCTTGGTGTAGTACGGGCGGATGGCCGGGCCGAGCCGGTGAAGCCTGCGCGGCTGCCCTGGGTTGCCCCGTGCCTCGGCGGCACGGCGCGGCGGGCGGCGACGCTGACGTCGTCAAAAGTCTTGGTGTTTCGTGACAGCCGGCTGCCGCAGCCGCGCTGCCACGCCCGGGCCGGCCGTCCCACGCCCGCGTCACGAGGTTGCTAATAGTGTACCTACCTCGCGGACCCGCACCACGTGCACGCCTCTGCCGGCGACGGGCCGATCGAGGGGATGCTGGACGGCGCAGGACATCTCTCGCGTCGCCGATTGGAGCTGCCACCTCGGGAGAGCTAATTCCTGTTATTGACAGCCTGCCCCCTCCCCCCTCCTCCTTCAAACGCCCCGAATCCTTGTTAGCGCCACGTTGTCGCCCGAGTAGGCGGCACGGCACGGCGCGCTGCACGAGAGCTCTTGTTTGCACCGGGGCCGATATGGGGCCGTGGACGGGACGTGGATGGCGACCTGCCGGCCCGACCCCCGTACTCTGCGAAAATCGAAATTAGGATGAAAGAACGGCGTCGCGCTCGCGTTTGATTTTTGGATTTCGTTTCGCGCGAATGACAGTCTGGCCGGGGTATGCTTACCGTGCTCTTGGTCGCCGCGCAGCACCGCGCCGTCCTCATCCGGTCACGCTTGGCCGGTCGCCACCTCCGCCCCCTCCCTCCTCCTCCCTCCCCCTCCCCTTTCCCCTTTGCTTTCATTTCCCGCCTCTTGCTTTGCACTTGCTTTGCGTCGCCCTTCCACGCAGTTTGCGCGCGCACGGGCGTGTTGCCCCGACTGGCGCTCGGTTGCCCCAAGGCCGCCAGTGTTGTTGTTGTTTTGATCACCGCTGCAGGACCCCGTCATGATGAATGCACCCCAACGCGGCCGAACGCGGCCGTCTAAATGCATGACGACGTACAGGATGCAAGCCGGCCTTTCCGGTTGGCGGCGGCGCGGGCCGCCGGGCCGGTCACCGAGTCGCGCTGGCTGGGGGAGATCTCTCTCCCTCGCTCTCGTCGAGCTTCCCGTGTAGGTGTGAGAGAGACAGCGACGAGACCTCCCCCTCGGAATCAGCCTTCTGGGTGGGTCGCCGCGGCGCCGACCACGAGGACCCCGCTCGCTTCCCTGCCACACTCCGTCTCTCTCGCGCTCACGGGGCGTCCCGTACAAGTGCGAGAGGGACGGAGCGACGACTCGCTGCGCGGGACTACGCGGGACCAGCCTGCCCATATTGACTCTGTCTCTGTTTGTTCCAGTGGACCGCTGCGTGGGCTGCGGCGGCGGCGTGCACTCTGGCTCGTGCTCGGGCGACGTGTACGTGGAGACGCGCGGCGACGGCGAGGCCGTGTCGGAGCACATCGGCATCGGGGAGCACGCATTCAGCCAGATGCAGGGCGACCTGGACCAGCAGCGGCTGCTGGGCGAGCGGCCCGCGGCCGACATCGAGCTGGTGCGCCAGATCCAGAGCAAGGAGCGGTACGTCGTGTCAACATGTTTGGCGTTTGCGTTTTGGAGCGTGGAGACCGCTGGGGTGGGGGCAACCTCGGGGCAACCTCGCCGAAGCTGTCGAAGGTGCTAATGAAGAAGCCGGGCGATGTGCGCGTCCAGCGCGGCGAGCTCGTCGTCGAGACTCTCAGGGTGGAGTTGGCTCCATCCGCGTTTGAATCCTGGAGCAGCTGCAGAATGCTCTGCGGCCGATGGCTAGTGCACTGGCGGCGATGGCGATACCCCGCGTCGCAGTGCGATCGGGGCACTGGCAGGGAGTATCGCCGGCCGTGTGTGCGGCGCGCGGCGTTTCTTCGCCCGTTTATTGTGTGAGGCTCACGGCACGTTGATAAGTGATGGGGCCAAAGCGGACCGAAGCGGGCCAAAGCGAGGCGATGTCGATGCTTCGGTCCGTTTCGGTTCGGCACGCGGGCCAAACTATTCCGAGTCTTGAAGCGGCCTTGGTGCCGAGTGGAGTGGAGCGGCTCTCCAGCTGCTGCTGTTAGTGTCGGTGTGCTGGAGTGGACTGGAGTGTGCGCTAACTGGGCAGTATTTGCCTCGCTTCACCCCAACGCCGCCCCCCCCCCTTTCCCCGCACGCGCACTGTGCAGCCCTGGCTGTAATGGCCTGTCAAACGCCGGGCTGGCAAGTGCCGCCCCGCCCCTCCCGCGTGCTCTAGAAAAGAGCCGCCGTGAGCTTGCAACAGCGGCGTGGCCCTGTGGCCCTGTGTCACTGCAGGGCTGCGTTCGGGGCGGCGCTGCGGGGCGTGGCGCCCTGCGCCCTGCTCTGGCTGCGGCGGCGCGTTGTTCACACGCGGCCCGGCCCTATCAGGCGGGCTTTAGCCACATGTCGATGTGGGCTCGGCGTCGTCGGCCCGGGCGCGATAAGGCGGTGCTCGGCGGACGCGGACACTCGACGCCGACGCCGCGCCGGCAAACAGCACAGCGAGGTGGAGAGGCGTTGGTTGGGTTGCCTGCCGTCCCGGAGCGCCGCCATCAGCCTGCACGATGGGCTGCCTGCTGCCTGGGCGGCGGTCGCGGACACAGAGTGTGGGAACGGGCGCGCCCCGCCCCACTCTGCCCCAGCGAATGAAGTGCGGTCTAATGGCACCGCGCTGCAGTCCAGTCCGGGCTGTCCTGCAGTGTCGCGTGACGACTGGACGGTTGTTTGCCGCTCTGACCGCTGCCGCCGCGCTGCCGCCGCACCGCTTTGGCTTTAGCCAAACCGGAATCCGTTGCTTTTTTGCGCTCCAGTTCTGGGGCGTCGCATTGGAACCGCTATATCTGCCTCTGTCTGACGCGGGCTGGCGCGGGCTGGCGCCCACGAGTGGGAGTGAGACGGTCGGCTTGGAGGTCAAGCAGGCTGCGGTTTGGAGGGACGGCGATGGCTGACTGGCTCGACCGAAGGTGGCTCCCGCGCCTTCGCACGTGTGATGCACGCCGAGTGACGCACACGAGGCGCGGTGTGGCTGGGGCTCCTCGGCCGGCGTCGTCACTACGTCTCTTACCCGACGCCCCGCGAGTGCAACAGAGACAGAGCGACGAAAGCGAAGCACCGCTGTTGGGGATCGGCCCGCTGAGTCGGCGACGCGGCGACACCCAGTGTGTTGTCTTTGGGGAGCCGCCCTAACCGACGTATCCGCTGGGAACGTTTGCGGTGCAAAATGTATCACGATATGCCTCCTGCGCATTAGCCCGTGCTCCATGTTGGATGATTCGCCTCACCTTGGCTAAGGCCGAAGGGGCGGCGGTGAAAACAATTGGCCCCGTATGGGAACCCCTCTCCCTCCCCCTCCGCCTGGCTAATTGCTGTGAGGCATACCCTGACCGTGCAGGGTCGCGTTCTGTGGCTCTGTTCAGGCCACGGCCACCCCCATGATGGCTTTGATGGAAGCATCGCTGTAGTGTGGCGGTGGCGTGGCTTGGCGTGGCGCTCGGTAAATGGTCTATTTGCTTCCGCGGCGAACAGGTGGCGGGCTGGCCTGGTGGATCCGTGATGGGTCTCGTCCAGCTTGTCGTGTTTGGAAGATTGACTCGATGCTATCTTGGGCGGAAAGAGGGGAAAGGAGGGGGCATGGCGCATAGGTCGCGGCTGCGGCTAGCCAGCCATTAGTCATTTCGGCAAGAGTGGTCAATGTTTCTATGTGACGGCCGACTAAGTCGTTGCCTCGTGCCCGACCACATAGTGGTGCTGCGTGAAAAAGAGAGACCCTGACTACGCTAGTACGCCCCGGCTAAGTGACAGTCCGACCTGCTCATTTCAAACAGTACTTCCTCGCCCAGGGGCTGCAGTGCGGGAGAGAGACGGACGCACCGTTCGGAACGGCCCTGGTCGGTCGACACGCTTCCTCGCTTCTTCCACACGTCGATTGCACTTAGTTGCGACGCCGCCGCCTTGCCGGTCTGAGGCTTTTAATTGGCGGGCCAGTTGCAGTGGCGTGGCGGCACGGCGCGCTATCGGCCTGTGGCTCAAAGTTAGATTGCTCGAGTCGAGTAATTCGGCCGAACGACTCGACGCCATGCGAGCGCGGTGCGGTGCGGGTCGGCCTTCATGGCGATGTCGGTGTCATTGTCGGTACGGATCGATCGCGAAGGGAGGGGGGCTTCGGCAAAATTGGGACGCAGACTGAAACTGCAAACCGACAGCAGCCGACGAGAGTGCGCTCGCCGGCCGGAAGGATGGTTCAGGACAGGGCCTTCTTTACCATGAGGCGCATTGGTGTAGTGCGAGAGGGACAGGGCGACGGCACCGTTCGGAATGAGCCTGCTGCCTGCCGGCAGGGCTGGCGGGGCTGACGGGGCTGGCCGCCGGAGCCCCGTGCTGGGTAGGCTGTCCCGGGACACGCATGTCCTGCGGTTGCCTACCCGGCAGGCGATTGCGATTGCGATTAATGGCTGGACCACGCGCTCTGCCAGAGCTCTGCTGCAAAGAGGGCTCGCCCTCCCCTCCTGGGCCCGGCCCGGACTTGTGCATTTTTAAATCCCCCACCTCCGCGTCCGCGTGTGCGTGTGACATTTGGCTGCAGGCAGCATGCATTGGGCGGGGCACGGCCGGCACAGGGTGGCCGGCCCCCGGAGTGGCGTGCGTGGCCCTCCAGGCCGTCCAGCTGACTGACTGCCCCCTCCCTGTTCCCCGAAAAATATATCGCTCCCGGTATCGATTGTGTGCTCTTCCGTGGCGTGGCCGTGCCCCGTGCCCTGCCTGTCCCCGTCGCGCGGCCGCTGCGCCGCCGGGCCGAAACCAGTCGAAATCAATCGCCGGCCGCCTGTTCGCAGTGGCGGTCTTAAAGGGCCGTTACTCGCAGTGCGCGACGCCGCAACTGCGCCGAACTTCTGGCCGGGGACGACCCACCCCATCCCACCCCGCCCCCTCCACCAACCACCAGCCCCGCGCGGCCAGAACTGACTTCGGCTTGGCCAAACATGTTTTGGATGTGAATAAATTGTCCGCACGGCCCCAGCGTGGCTACAGGCCGATTCCCAACAGTCCTTTCGTCACCATATCTCTCTTTCTCGTACTCGTGGGGCGTCACAGTTGGAAACCCGCTGATTACAGTCGACTTCCGTTAGCTGGCACGCCTTGACCACTCGATAGTTGGCACGGAGTCATCACCACCGCCGGTAATCCGTCGCCGGGCGGCCAGACCCTCGGCCCGGTTGAGCCTGGCCTACGCCCGGGCCTTTCGTTAGCTGTCCAACGCGCCTCCCGGTTGCCCTGCCACCTAACGGAAGTCGACTGCATGGGCCGGGTGGGGGGGCCTTCGTCCTTCCATGAGACTCGAACCTAAAGCCCAAGACTCATGGTCCTTCCGCACGAGGGCCTCCCTCGGCCATACTGGTCCTGGAGGGAGGCGGTGGTGTAGAAGCGTCGCAGTGGCGTCAGGCCAACGCTGCACCGCAGCCCCCGCTGCGTCCACCAGTTGCACCTCGTCGTCGCCTCGCCCCCATAGCTCCGGGACGCCCCCCTAGGTTTTCGCTTTCGTTTCGTATTACAAATATTTTGCCAACGGTATTATCAGCCTGATAAGGGCTTGGTGGCGCTGCTTAGAAGCGTGGAGTGCGGCGCGCGGTACGCGGTGCTGCTGGCGGCCCCGTGACGCCGCGCGCTCGCCGAGGCCAAGCAGAGCGGCGTTTCGGCGGCCGGGTTGGGGCGTTTGAGAGCGTGCGTTTCCCGTTTCCCCGATGCACTGAGCGGGCCTTACTGAGGCAGTGACGAACGAGGCCAGCGCAACCTTTCCTATCACGGCAGTGTAGCGGCGCGCTTTTGCGTGTTTTTGTTTATAGCGCGCCGACGGCCACTTTTCGCTCGGGGCGTGGCGCCGCGTTGGCCGCGTTGGCCGCGCCGCCGAGTCAGGATTAGGACTGCGCACTACGCAGTTGGGAGTTCGCTCTTTCCGAACGGCGCTTCTCTCGCCCCGTCTCTCTCGCTCGCCCTCACGCGACGCCAGACGAGTGCGAGAGAGACAGCACTGTTCGGGATCGCTCGCTCGACTGTGCAGGACGGGGCCACCGCGGTGCGGTGGCGGGGGTGGCATGCCGTCATGGTGTTACACAAGGGGCGCGAGTTGCTTATCATCCTGTGTGTCACCTTTGCTTCCCTTCCTGCACCGCCGCCCCCCTCTCCCCGCACTTCCTTCTGGGCCCGCCGCTTCCGGCGACCCTGGCCCTGGCGGCCCTGGTGGCGCTGACGGCGCGCCTCTCGCGTGTGCCGTGTGTGGGGCGACTCGGCGGTGACCTGGCGGCCCTGCTCTTGCTACCCTTCGCAGGCCCCTTGACCGCAGCGACCCGGCAGGGCCGGACCCGGGTGTCGTGGCACACGCAGTCCAGGACGACGGCGACGTCACCGCGGACCTCGCACGGCGTGGCGGCGTGGCCCTCACACTGGCAAGCAGGCTGCATGCGTTGCCGTCTTGGCGAATCAATAATTGGCGAGGTGCGACAGAGACCGCGAATCACGCACGCGACGCGGAGCGCGACGCAGGGGCTGGGGAGGGGCGCGTGGCGCGTCGCGTACGACGGGGACGTCGGGGCGTCCCAAGGCACGGCGTGGGGTGGCTCCCCGGTGTCCGGTCTTGACTGTATCGACGCTGCCGAGGCGGCCGTGGCGGGGAGCGCGGCCCGAGGTGTGTGGCGGTGCCGCGTGGTGTCCAGTCCACGCTAGGCCGGGCCCGCAGTCGCACGGACCGCACGGACCGCACGGACCGCACGGACGCCACCTTGCTTTCGCTGGACAAGCTGAGCCATCACGTTCACCTGGACAACCTGGACCACGGCACGGTGCGGCCGGTGTTGCTCGACTTGTCCGACCCGTTGGCGGCCCTCCGCCCCTCCCCCTTTCTGCACCGCGTCTGGCCGAGTAGCCGAGCCTTGCAGCGCGCGCAGCCCGGCGCAGCCGCCGCGACTCGCTTGCTCAGTCAGTCAGCGTCCGACTGTAGCGCCCGCCGCCGCGCCCGCCGCTCGCGGGACGTAACGCAGACTCGGCGGCTTGACTGGGAACCGCGCATCCTGCGCGGGCCGTCGCCGTCGCCGTCGCTGCCGTTGGCGAACCGCGAACCTCGCGCTGGTTTTGTCGCGGTGCTGCGCCGCCGAGCGTCACGCTGGCGCTGCTCGAGGCGCCCCCCGTGCGGCTCGTGGTCATGGAGCAGGAGGAGCAGGAAGAGCGGTGAGTGCAGGACGGCGGCGTGCATGTGCATGCGCGGCGCCGCGCCCCGCCGTGCCCCGCCAGCCATTGGCAGGCTGTCTGTCGCCACTCTGGCAGTCCGTTCCGCGGCCTTCGCTGACCCCAATCCAACGCGCTCGATGTTCCGGCCAGGCCGAGGGCCGGTCGCAGCCCGGTCCGCCAGTCTGGATCGCAGCCATCGATCATTCCAGTGCCGCCGTCAGTCCTCGGCGCCGTCGCGCTGCCCCGAGTCGCACAGCCTCATGACTGCCACAACAGTGTCAGTGATTCCGCCGCGCCGTCTCTCTCGCACTCCTAGGGCGTCGCGCAGGGGTGAGAGAGAGGCAGGCCGACGAAGCCTGCTGCTGGTCCTCGTGGACCGTTTGTGTTCGCCGACTTCCGCACCCCCGCGTTCCCTGCGAAGGGGGGATCCAGAGATGGGTTCCGGGGGGGGGGGGGGGGATGGTTGTCGGTGGAGGCAAAGTGCAACTTTTTGCCCACCCACCTTCCAGGCGGCTTAACTGTGGGAGAGCGACGCCCCCATCACCCTTCCCGGGATCCACGTACAGTTTCCGGCCTGCCACCGCGCGCGCCGCCTCTGAGTGGGACTTCCATCGTTCCCTGTTCTCTGGCCCTATGTATGTTCACTGACGCCCGTTCGTAACTGTTGCAGGTATGAGCGCCTGCTGCGGCGCGCCCGGACCGAGGACCTGTCCGAAGTGTCGGGCATCGGCTGCCTGTACCAGAGCGGCGTGGACCGCTTCGGCCGGCCGGTCATTGTGTTCGTCGGCAAGTGGTTCCGCTTCAAAGAGATAGACCTGGACAAGGTGAGTGAGTTTGCCTGTGACGCCCTTTTGGCGCGTTTGTCCGCACCACGTCGAAGCACAGGGCTTTTGTCGCTCTGTCTCTCTCGCATTCACGGTGGCGTTCCGCAAGGGTGCATGCGTGCGAGAGGGATAGAGAGAGAGCGTGAGAGCGACCAAGCACTGTTCAGAATGCTGCCCACCGGACCCACGCCCCACGCCCACCCAGCGGCAGCGGCAGCGGGGCCCGGCCCGGCCGGGTGCTTTCCAGCCCGCCACGTGTCCACCACGTGCCGACCCTTCCTGTCATCTCCAGCGCCGCCGTCCTAGGCGGCTGGACGTGCTTGCAGCGGACGGATTCTGAGAGTCGCTTTCGTCGCTCTGTCTCTCTCGCACTCATGTGACGTCCCATGCAGGTGTGAGAGAGACAGCGACGAAAACGACTCTCGGCTGCGCCCTGCGCCTCGCCGTCGAGATGGACAGGCGGGCTGTGTTTTTATTTTGAGCGGACGCATGTTGCGTTTTCTATTTCCGAGGCAATCTTGCTCTATTCTGGTTCGGGGCCGCCGGCCGCCACCGCACCCCACGCTGTAGTGCGGTGGTGATGACGTGTGATGCCACCCCCGATCCAGCCTTGGCCAGCCTTGGCCTGCCTTGGCCTGTCATGACGTCACCGCGTCCTGGCTTGACTCATTCATGGAACGACGCCTGGTTCGCGTGCTTCACCCTTCCTTTGATCTGCCCGCCCCCACCCCCACCCCGCACCACTACTCTCCCGGTGACCGCACTCAACCCCCCGCTGTGCTGCAGGCGCTGCTCTACCTCATCTACTTGCTGGACCCGCTGGTGAAGAGCGACTACGTCATCGCCTACTTCCACACGCTGACGTCCACGGCCAACTACCCGTCCTTCCAGTGGCTCAAGGAAGTCTACAATATTCTGCCATACAAGTGAGTGTGCTGCCGGTTTTTAGTTGCTCTTACCTGGGCGCACTTTTGCTCTGGTGACGATGGCCCTTGCGTAATGTTGCACTGCTGCGGGCGTGGGACTTTGTCCCTCGGTGACGTTCTTTTCCCAGCAGATTCCTTATGCAATGGCCATTTGAGGCAGGCTCACTCATGCTGTAATGACGGTTTGTTTTTGTTTCTTCAGGTACAAGAAGAACCTCAAGGCGTGCTATGTAGTGCATCCCACGTTCTGGACCAAGGTGAGCCGGACGACTGTTTGCCTGCCTATGTTGAACTTAAAGTTTGGCCTTGAGACTTGGCCACAATCCTTGATATAATGGTTTTGAGCTAAGATCCGTTTTCTGGTCCTTCTCCAGATGATGACTTGGTGGTTCACGACACTGATGGCGCCCGCCATCAAGCACAAGGTTCACAGCCTGCCCGGGGTGGAGTGCCTGTACGAGATCATTAGTCGGGACGACCTGGAAATCCCTGCATTTATCACTGAGCACGACATGACGGTAAGAAAGAGCCACGCTGCCAAGTGCCATGCCGGTTCAGTGGAACTCGGTTGGGTGCCGGTGTGAGAGACTCGGTTAGTCCCGCTACGCATCGGTGTGGAGACGGTGGCCTACCTTGCCCCCGACGGCGTGCTTTGTTGGAGTGGCCCGGGCCAGGCACCACGTGGACATGCCCCAGACGAAGCCGTCTCCGTCTGTCACCCCCATCGCCCCGCAGCAGGTGCGACGGAGGCAGAAGACGCCGTGCGAACCGCTCCGAGCGCGCACGAGCAAAGCCTCGCAGGGGCAAGGTAGGCCGCCCTCCTCACAGCGGTGCGTAGCGGGCCTGTTTGCTTGCCTACCTAGCATTACCATTACCATTAAGGGCCAGACCACACATGATCGTATGCCTACCTAGCAGACGCGACAGGCTGCCTGCACTGCACCACTAAACTGACCCTCTGCGACGTTCTAGTGTGGCCGCAACTGTTTTGTTCCACAACCGTGTGTGCCTTGAACGCTGAAATGACCTGAACACGAAGTAATCTGAATCGGTTTCTTTTTTTTTGTCGCAGATCAACGGACTTCACTACTTCCACCCCATTCAGCCCACCTAGGGGCGACTTTTCCGGCATGAGGAACCCTCCGATTACATCATTCGGAGGTCCTCGTCCCGGAATGAATCTGAGAAGCAGCCAGAGTCCCTGTATGTGAGCCTGCAACTCCTGGTGCACTACCTCCTTGTCCTCGCCAAACTGAAATAGGGCGGAGTGGGTTTGACCGGGTTCTACTGGACTGGCTGAAGGAGTCTGGATTGGACTTGCCACACTGTGCTCCCTGTTATGAGCCTTCCCCTAAAGGACTCACCTCTCCCTAATATGTGTTGTTACAAGTGTGTCTGTTCGCCATTTATAAAGCATTTTCATAAAAGAACTAGTCGGTGCATACCAGTATCGGCAAAGAACAGGTGCATAGCAAGACTGCGTAGATAGGCGTTCCCGTTATTTTAGCATTGTTTTATGAAGTGAGCCATGTGTGCATGAATGAATGCAGGAATGTAAATCTCTTTAGTTATCAGTCATATGTAGTTAAACCTGCGTGTTTTTTGTTTGTTTTTTAAATTAAAATAAACTTTATGTAATGTTGTTTGATAAGTGTCCGCATTTCCTGCGGTGAGCATATGGAGCTCGTCTCGACAGCAATATGTTATACTTATTAACAGTTTGCAATGTACTGTCTGTGGAAATCAAAACTTGTACATTATTAGAGCTAAGTCTTTCCTACACAGTTGTTGTGATGTACTGTTGTCTTGATGATACCTTTCTTAATACTTCTAAGAAAACAAAATCATAGCATGCTTGTGTCTAAGAAGTGGCACATTCAAAGCACTCCATACCATGTCAGTACGTCCCATTGATTGGACATTGCATACATTTACTCTGTGCAGTAAACAGTCTGCTCCATTCAACATGAAAATTGTACATCAGTTTCTACTATTTTAGCTGATTTCCATGTTAGAGGTGGACAGAGGTGGGCCTCTGATAATAGGTCTCTCAAACGAAAATATTAATCATGGAATTCTATGTATACTTCTATTGGCACAGTTTCAACACTATGTTGACTAAATTTCTTGCTTCTCAAGCATTATCTTGAATGAGATTGCAGGGTGTACTTGATTGTAGGTTCAATTATTTAAGTCACTAAACTTTACCAGTGCTGCTTTCACTACTTTATTCTTTCTTGAGATTTCTCATGATTTAATCACTTCCTCTTGTTATATTTTTCCACCAAGTTAACTTGTTGGAATTTTTTTGACATGCTACTTTTAATAGTTTGTTTTCCATTCATCCATCATAGCTCATGGTGCTTTGCTATGAGTGATTAATAGTGCTGTGCTAATTTATGAGTACTGGTCAAAAAAAAGTGTGAGAAAAATCCTTTGTATAGGTGTACAGCTCCCATCCTAGTATGTGCCAGCACAGCAATTACCATTCATTCTCTTGGTTTTATCATCTCTTAATAATCTTGTCCCCAATAGGTGTAAAGTATTTGCTAAAAGCTAAAAGCTGCCGCAGACCCTGAATTTCTTGGAACCAGAAAACTCAAACGAATATACCTTTATCTGGCTCTTAATTGCTGCAAGTGAACGGAACAACCACTGCCGTGACTTATCTGAACATTGGTTCACCTGCGCGCTACCTGCTTTTACAATTAGGGTATTTGATAATGTAATAACTTTATCCTGGAGCAGTTATTTTCCTTGTTAGTATGTTATGTCTCATATTTGTTGGCGGCTCATTTGTCATTTGACAATGGCTGGTTTTTAAAAAATGTTATTGTAAATGTTGTTCAAGTTTTAGAAATTTTTGGTGTCACTCCTTTTTACATTCAGGTCCAGTGGGGAAAAAACCAAAAATACCATTCTTTGTGACTCATTTTAGTCTGAGTACTAAGTTAAAGTAGTTCTGTGTGTTGCGTCATGGTATATATAAATTTGTCATAAAAAATAAAAATTAAAATGTGGATTGTAGCAATATGTACGTATTTGTCTCTGTTGGAACACACTTAATATACTTGTGTGCCAAGTAACAGCAATGCTGATAAATAGTTGAAGTGTTTTGCACATAAAAGTAATTTGCAACAGTGCTTCCAATTGGGTTTGCTGAAGGTGCACTGTCATGCATTGTCAAAAATATTTTTCCCTAAAGGGCATTTCAGGTTTTTTAAAATGCATGTTTGAGCAGTAATTTTTTTAATGCAAACTGGCAATAGGTGAGTTACTGTGTTAACCAAGTACCTGTTATAGAGTATTCCTTGGATTGCTGTTGCCTTGTTTTATGAATATTTCATCTCCGTGACCAATCATACATTCCGATCCCAAATTAAATTAGAAAATGTATCTTGTTATCATGCCTTCATTTTGTTGATTTGTTTTGCCAAGTGCCTGTAGATGACATAGATACCTTAATTTATCAATATTGTTGGTAATAATATCTTATTTTTAACAAAGTTCAAATTTCATCCTCAACCACATGTGTCTATTAGGAAAAAATTGTATTTGCTTTGCAAATGGCTAGGGTTGTAGAGTTGCCCCCCGGAAATTCCCGGAGGTGGTTGTTGCTAGGTCAAATATGATTAGTGGTTTGTTCATAGAGCTTCAGAATGCAATGAGTACTGTCTGTTCTCTGTGCGGTGCGAGGGAAAATGAGCATCCCCCACTTGCTGTGAATTGACTGTATAAGTAGAAATGAGCTGTTTAAGTGCATTCCTGCTGTGGCACTGTGTAGTGATAAGAAGTGCCAAACAAATGTGGAGTGTTCATGTGTTTTCTAACAACACAATCTTCATCTTTTCATATTGGGGGTGTCACCTCCCATGTATATTATGCATGTGTTCACAGGGATGCGTATTCTTTAGGCAATCAGTACCACCAGTTACTTTTAGGAGGAAATGTAATGCACTGACAGTAGATTTTGATTCCAATAATACCACTGTGCCCACACAGGATATAAACAGTGTTAATAAACAGCTCTCGCACTAAATATCTATTTATGATTTAATTGTTCTTTTTTATGTTTCATTAAATTATTATTTTTATCTTAAATCAAGAGTCAGATAGTTTCTTTATGTATGTTCTTATCAGAATACAGTCAAAGTGGTCTAGTTATTGTCCCATACTATAGCATTTTGTCCCCACTAGTTCGGAGAAGTCCTGTGACATTTTGGAAGCTCATGGAATGCTTTTGCATTCTAGTCGTAGATTGTATTGAAGGCAGAAAAACTGATGGCAGTAAAGAGTGGATACTTGTTAAAGTTGTTAAAATGCAATAGTTTGAAGGTTATATTTATCATCTAACATAGAGAAAAATAGTTGCAATTATTTGTTCCCTGCTTTTTCCTACGATGAATGGCTTTCCCCATTCTATAGAAGCCAGTCATTTTTACAATTTCCCTTTATCTTAAGACATTGTTTTTTCAAAGTTTTTGGAAGTTTTAAAATTAATGTTAAAGCTTTCGGTTGGGTTGTTGAGCAAAGTGGTCTGAAGAATTGTTATCTGAATTGTTAGCCTGTTAAGATTATATTGTGCTTTGCTAATTGTAGAGGAAACGAAAAAGGATTGTTGTTATTCATGGTTCTTCTATGGTGTCCTTTTGATCACAACTGTCCCAGTTGTTCGTTTAATTTTGTATACATTTTCATGGACGTACATAACTAAAAATAAAGTGGACAACAGGACACCATAAGAGACAAAGTGGGAAATCTTTTCAAATTTACTTCAAAAGTGCGCTGCGCTCTTGTTCATATTGAAATCAATGAAAGGGAAAAATGTGTAATAGTTAGATGCATTGCTTTTGGCCTTCATTTTCCTCTCATTGGCCACTCCATGCGTTTGTGATTACTCTTTTTTTACAGTTTTAATTTTTTATGTATGTTGAACACATGATATTGAATACACCCAATGTTGAATGTTACTTGAATTATTGATTTTTTTTTCGCTATTCCCTTCTGTACTTTTTCACAAATCAATCAGCAGAGATTACGAGGTGGATTCCCTAAAGAGTATGTTGGGCTGCCTACCCTCCGGCGCTGGCACTCGAACGCAGCGTGCCGTGCCCTGAGCAGAGCGGTGCGAAACCAATGCGAAACGAACGGAAACACTACACTGGGCAACGACGCTACTTTCGGTCGGCATTTGGTTCCGCGTGGCTGTTTGCTGTTTGTCAGGGGGAGGCACCACGGCGCACTCGTCGCCCCGCGCCACGTGACCACGTGACTCCCGCATTCCCTGCTCGGTCTGCCCGGCGTGTGACCGCGTGACGTCACCGCCGCTACGCCACCGCCACCGAAATATGGATGGGGTGCTTTGCCGCTTCGCTTCGCCTCTGCTACCGGCACTGCTTCGCCACCGCCGCAAGGTCGCGACCACCGCGACGACGACGACGCCGCGCCCCACGCCCCACGCCCGCCAACTCAAAAAAGAGTTCTTGTTGCTTGTCTTTGTGCTTGTTGTTGGGGCCCGGCTCGGCGGCTCGGCTCGGCGCGGCCCGACTCGGCCTGGCTCGGCTCGGCTCGGGTGGCCGAGCGGAGCGGCGGGCGGGCGCGCTCTATCCATTCCCATTCGCTTGCTTCGCTAGTGTGTCGCGCGACTCGGGAACAAGTGGTCGGTCCGGCCCGTGCTGGCGTCCGCGTCTTTCGGTCTCTCCGTGCCAGTGTCATTCCCTGCGCCGCGCCGCCGCCTAGTCTGTCAGCCCGAGCACCACGCCACCACGACCCTCCCGCCTCACACTGTCACACTCCCAGCGAGGGAAACGAAAAATCAGGAACCAAAATCGAGCGAAGATAAAATTTGGCGACAGGGAAGGCCTTGCAGTGAGACAGCCTAGTGTGATTTTTGGCATCCAAGTCCCTGTCGAGATCGAGACCGAGGCCAGCGACGCGATGGATCTCTCGAACCTGCGGCACAGCCTCAACAGCAGCGGCGAGAGCAGCGCCAGCACCAGCAACTGCAGCAGCCGAAACAGCAGCCGCTGCAACAGCCGCAGCAACAGCAGCAGTCGGCGCGGGGCCGGCGCGCGCACCAGACCGCACCTGGTGCTGGACACCCCCGTCGTGAGCCTGGCCAAGCTGCGCCTGGACAGCGAGGGCGACAGCAGCCCCGCCGACAGCCCCATCGCCATCGCGCCGCCCACCCCCGCCACCCCCGCCACCCCCACCGCCCCCGCCACCGCCGCAAGCAGCACGCCGGACCAGCCGGACGGCCAGGGGGAGGCTGGAGGGACTTCCCTGCCGCTGATGCAGGTGAGTGAAAGGACTGGTGTTTCGCGACACGTCGCACAGCGGCTTCACTGACATGAAACATCTGCTCTGGCGGCCGGTCGAGAATATTTTGGCCGTTCCCAGCCAGCCGGGGCGATGAGCCTGTCCTGTCGCACCGCGTGGAGGGGCACTGCCGGCACTGCCGGTGCAGGAGAGGGGACAGGGAAAGGGGCGGGGAACCGGCCGGCAGCCAGCGCCTCGGCCCCCACGGCCCGCGCCGCCTGGTGCCGACGCGCCGACGCGGGCCGCTCCGTGTAAGGCAGCGTGCTGGAGGTGGAGGTCCACCGAGGTCCACGACGTGAAACGTGAGCGCGATGGGCTAGTGCTCTGCCGACTCCAGCCCGTGCAGAGGGTCCGTGCTGTCGGCGACAGCTTCGAGGAAGGGCGGCAGGAGCATCGCTGACAGTGACAGGCTGAGCCGAGGCAGCCGAGCGATTCCCAAGAATCGTTTCGCTCTATCTCCGTCGCGCTTCTCGTGGGGCGTGCCGTGGGGGTTGCGAGAGAGACAGAGCAAAGAAAGGCTCTTCGGGGTCGCTGGGCAGGAGACAGGCGGTACCGGCAGGCGCTCGGCAGGAGGTAGGTCTGGCCAACTTCGCCGCGCACCTTTTCATCAAACCCACGCTAATAATAGGATGCACGAAGCCGAAGCGCGAAGCAACCGCTCCACTGCTCGTTGCTCGTCTGCTCGTCCGTCTCGTCCGCCGGCCTCCCCAGCCCGACTCGCACAGAGGCGCGACATGTGGAGTGTCCGTCTGTGTGTGTGCGTGTGTCGTGCCAAGGGGCGCGACGATGTCTGTAACGGCTCCACCTTTGCCACGGCGCGAGGCGCGAGGCGCGTGGCGACACCGCCCTGACCACATCCAGGTCCTTCCCTTGACGTCCTCGTCGACGGCCGGCTGCCCTGCTGCCCCGCTGGCCTGTTGGCCTGCTGGCCCAGGACTCCCTCTATGGACAGCGTCTCCTCTGCGTGGGCGATTGCATGGCGATCGGGCCGGGGCGGGCCGGGCCAGCAGAGTGATTCCGAACATGAACGTCGCTTTGGTCGCTCTGTCACCGTCGCGCTCGCTCCCATAAGGACTCTCCGTATCTGTGCGAGAGAGACGGAGCAACTGTGCGGGATCAGTCTGCTGACGGGACGGGCCTTGTGGCGCCTTGTGGGCAGGCCGAGGCGCCGAGGCAGAGCGAGCTGGGAAATGCTCAAATCCGACCGCTCAGCATCCGTTGTTTAGCGAAAGACGTAAAGGAGTACGCGCTAAACTGGTTACGTACACTAAAAGTGTGTATAAAACTCGCGGCCGCTTGGCCGAGCCGGGCCTACGGTGTGTAAACAGGTGGCTGGTTGCCGACCAAGAAGCCGAAAGTCTCTGCCTCACGTTTCTGTCACCTCATCGCACCCGCGGCTCCGGCGCTCATCGCATCAGCCCGAAAATCGAAAACAACATGTACCGTTGCGTTCTCTGGTTTGCCTTCGCCTCTGGCCCTCTGGCCGTGGCGCCTCGCCTTGCAGTGCCAGGGCAGTGCAGTGCTGCGGAGCGCCGCGCCACGCCCCTGCAAGGCACGCCCCTGCAAGGCATACCCGGCCTGGCGGACGTGCCGGCCTGCATGCCGTGACTGCCGTGACGGACCGTGACACGGTGACACGAGCTTGCGTAACGTGACGTGTTGTTGACGCGCAACGCGCGCAACGATGTGACGACGCGCCCGGGGCGGCCCGGGGGGCTCTCCACGTAGAACGGCGCGGCGCGGTGGCGTCGTGACTTTGAATTTATCAAGGGCCTCGGCGCACTGGCGCGCACTGGATGCCGAACAGTCGATCCATCTCGCTCGCACTCCTGGGGCGTCGCGGGGCGTCGCGCTCGGCGGCACGGGTGCGAGAGAGGCCGAGCGACGGCGCGCTGCTCGGAATCGCCCCGCCGGGGCCACTCTACTACGCCTCCCTCACTCAGCTGGCGCGCGCACGCTGCGCACGCACGCCAAAAGTGGGGGAGCGGGGAAGGGGCCGTGGTGATAATAGACCGCGCTCACTGCCACGCGTGGCCAAGGGCGCGAGCGCGGGAAATGAGAAGGTCCGTCTCTGAGGAAGAGAGGGGGGGAGCAGGATGTGGGAAAGAGGGAGGGGTGTTGTTGTCGGCAAGGGTTGTTATTCCTTCCCTTTTCATTATCCTGGCTGGTGTGACGTGCGAGGCCGAACCACAAGCCCCCGCTGTGTGTGCGCGTGTGTGTGTGTGACATGGTTCAGTTCGCGTACACGGCCCTTCCATTCCACTCGCATATCGGGCCGACGTGGTGCTGTGCTGCGCGCGGTGCGCTAACTAGGCCCGTCTGGTTGGCCGCGACGGCAGGAGCTCGCCGCGGACAGATCCGCCGGCCAGGACGCCGTCGCGCTGGCCGCCAAGCACGGCGCCCGCACCGCCCGCCCTTTCTGGTTTAATTACGGCATTACAGGCCTTTCGCACGTGACAACGTTGCATAAAGGACGCGGTGCCCAAGCAGTGCCCAAGTCGATCGGCTTGGCAACGTGGTTATCGGGCGGCAAGGCGGCCACGCCACCGTCAGCCGGCCGATTCAGAAGAGTCGTTTCGTCGCTCTGTCTCTGTCGCACTCATGTGGCTCTCCGTAAGGGTGCGATAGAGGCAGATCCTCTGAATCACTCGGCCGGCCGGCAGGCTGCAGGCAAGATGCCATCGGCCACTCGGCCAGCCGCCCAGCCGCCGCCAACGGGCCAACGGCGACTAAATTTACCCCCGTGTCCCTCCCCTCCCGACGCGCCCCAACCCCAGCCACAGCCACAGCCCTGCCCCGGCGCTGGGCAAGCATGGCAAGCATCCAGACTCGCGACCGCCCGGCGCGCCAACTCGCCGGCGCGGGCTTATGTGAAGCAGTGGACTGAGTCCGACTGATTCCGAAACAACGTTTGTGTCTCTCTCGCACCTATACGCAACGGCCCCTGAGTGCGAGAGAGACAGAGAGGAGAGCTCTCTTCGGCCCGACCAGTTCGACGGGGACGCCTGCGCCTCCCGCCGCCGCCGCGCCACGCCCACCCCCGCGTGAACCCTGGCACACTGGCAACCGCGGCGCAATCGTCGGCCCCGCGGCCACCTTGATGAGGGCCAGCACGGCCAGCACGGTGCTGCAGGAGGCTGGGGACGACTGCACACCGCCTGCATGCGCTGCAGTGCGTGCGCGCCGCGCGTCCCTGGCAGCGCGCCAGCCTCCGCCGTGAAGGCCCAGAGCGCGGATACGCGGACGCGCGCGGAGCCGCGCGAGTGTCGATGGCTTTCTTTTGTTAACGGCGAGGCGACTTCCCGTCGAGGCGAGGCGCGGCCCAGCGGCCCGCCGGCACAGCGGGGCATTTGGGCAACACTGCGAATGCAAATAAAGAGGCGCATGTGGTGGACGGTGACGGCCTGCCCTGGCGGGCCCCGCGGGTCGGGGCACGGCCAGGCACGGCCAGGCACGGCCAGGCAGGCCAGGCTCGACGTGCGCTGTGTGGTCACCGTCACCGCGCCCCCGCCCCCTTCACCTGGCGGGCCGGCGGGCGCCTGGCGTGGCGGGGCACCGTTCGGTACTTCGGCACTAGGAACCACGGCGATGGGGTTCTGGTCCGGCACGCCGGGCACGCCGGGCATGCCCACCAAACCGCGGCACTGATACCGCGCGG